AGTTTATTGTTTTTTGCTAGGTAAAGGATCTCCTGAGTGACATTGGAGGTCAGCTTGGACTTTGGATTGGCGTATCAGTTGTCACACTTATGGAGATGATGCAGCTCGTGGGGGCGGTGTTTGGGGCATTGTTTGCCAAACTGCATGGACCCCATTCAGATCCAAAGATTTGCCAAACTGCATGGACCCCATTCAGATCCAAAGATATTTCCATCAACATAGTGTTAGTTACGATAATCATGAAATCGTACTTGATTGGAGAGGTTCCTTTATCTATACGTTTTTTATTTGTTTGTAAATTGTCAAAAAAGTGAAGTGATTGATAGGGCAAAAAAAAAAAAAAAAAAAAAGATGCAGTGCGCGACGGGTAATTTTCGCGTGAGATGGTGAATACGCTTATTTTTCCACGTTTCTATAAATTCTACAATAGACCCTACCATTATATAGCACACAACTGATACTCGGTGAGCTTAAGTTCGAAAGATTTCTTGTCAACGATCGGCGTGTGGCTCACATGCGCTGCTATATGCCTACAAGCTATACGGTAGTATTCGAGTCCTGCAAAATAGCTTTCGTGAAATATAAACAATAAAGCAGATAATAATTATTGATTTTATTTTAAACTTTGAAAGCCTAGAACAATTAACTTTCAAATTATTTGTGAATAATAATGATACTGATTTTAGATGTAAAAATGTTTTTGTACAGTTTTGAATTATTAGGGTAAAGTTTTTTTAATTCAAATTTTTGTTAATTTTACAGTTTATGAATATATTGTTAACTCACAGGATTATGTAAAGTTTGCCTATTTGTGAAGCGCTTTGATCACGATGGAAAGCGCTATAAAAATAATATTATATTATCGTATTGTATTCTATTATAGTATGGTTGTATTTGAGGCATAGAATCTGCATAATTAATTATACATTAGCTAGGCTGAACGTTGGTGTTTGGCGGAGAAAGCAGGACCATGGAGGAATTAGTTAAACTAATTCCTCCCTGATAGAGCATGAATGTGCCTTTATGTCTAGAATGATATGTTTCATTTCACTTGCAACAATAATGTTGATCAAGAGATATTATAGCTATCGGAAGTTTTCGATATCCTCGCGATACCTTCTGGTAGTAAACCCGTTGTTCGATGACCAGCGGAATATTTGTAAGGGAATTTGAACACGTGATAACAGCCTATTGTATATTGGATCGTAGCCGTCACGGTTCATGTTAATGGAGGCGCTTTCGCGAGGATACCGGTACCGATTAGGAAGTCCGAAGCAATAAAACACAGGCCGAACTCTGAAGAAAGGTAGGTGGCCTACAGTAATTATTTCACTTGAAGTTTAAACTAAATACTGTAGTTAGATGGTAATTTTCATGCTTAGTAATGTTAAATAATAGTGGTTTGCTAAATATATGTAGTGGTGTTAGTAAAACCAGAAAGCAGTCTGTCGGATTGGGTGCTTGTCATCATCTTGCCTGTTTAATTATATTGACATAATGCATTCATGGCCGGCCATCCACATGTAGATTATTTCAATTTTAATACGCGAGTCGCGCTATGCATGAGAGTACGGTACATTACTTCATGATTAAAAAGATTAACCCTTCTGAGTTGCATAATGTTGATTATTCTTCTTGGTAAATACTCATTAAAATATTGTCGCTTCATCCTAACTTCGTAGAATGCTTAACTTGGATTCCCTTTGATCTGAATTAATTATGGATGGATTTCTGTCAAATTAGTTGTCAACAAGCGGTTGTCTGCAAATTTCGACATGTTTGAAGATTAAGATGTGCAATTGACGAAGTACAGTTTATATCAAATTGTTTAGGTCTATGCCCAATTTACATCCAATCAATTAAGGGGGTTATTATTTTAATGGTTCAACAGACATTAAAACTGCATTAAGAACAAACAATATACCTTAATGAAAATGTGTCACGGTCTAAGAGATACGAAAATTAACAGGTACTATTATGACGTCACGCTTGAATTATCGAATGCATTTATTAGGGGTCTCATGACGTGACAAATATTAAAAGAAGATTCAGATATTAGCATTTAGGCCTAAGTTTTGATGCAAAATTATATATATATGTAATATTATTATTATTAGCCAAATTGTATGTTCAAAAGTTCGTAAAGAATACGTTAAGTGTTTTACAAGAAGATTGTCTTAATAAAGATATTCTGAATTGATTTATGTTCAGAGCTAATCCTTTAACTGAACGAGACGATGTCTTGGTGATTGATCAAAGCGTGAAAGTGCGTGAAATCATAAGGGCCGTCTCATGGTCCCACAGGGTGTCTTTGGGAATTGACAAGCTCGAAACGGTACACATCGACAGGGGTATACGGTACATCAAACTGAAGATGCTTCTGTTTTGTTGTTAGCGGTGACATGATGCATTTATATTGCTCCTGTGGGATATCCCTTTAGCTACCGTATATAAAGAAGACAGTGGTCGTTTCTTGTGTTACTATGCGAACGATAACTAAACGATAACGATGTTCCAATTTTTACTCGATAGCCTTGTGTGCATTTGGCCTATATTCTGAGACCTAGATAAATAGGCTTATAATTAGGCCTATCTGTTTCTATTCCCTCTCGAAGTGCAGTGCAATTTCAGATGACACGTTTTTTTTGGCACGTGGAGGGCACACCAAATCCAAATGATCTCTCCCTACCCACAAGACCCCCACACACCCCATCTATGCAGATTCATCTATTTCTCTTTTCTGCACGTAGTTTTTATCTTTCATTTTATTTTCGTTTACAGTATCAATAACCCAAATTTATGTTGTGTGAGTGACAACAAAGAAGTGTCGTAATCCATATTTCAAAATGGCCTTCACCTCTTTCTGCATTCATATTCACAATAATAACATTGAAGTAGGACGATGTTTTATTATTTGTTATTGATTTGAAAGAAATGGGTCTTTATAATGGGGAATTTGAAGACGAAATGCAATTTCTTCTTAAATGTAAACTATATTATGATTTAAGAAAAACGACATTACAGGATATTATTTTCGTTTTCTTAAGTAGAGAAGTATATTTATATAATAAGCTTGTTATACAAAAGTATGTTAATTTTCAGTTTTTATTTAAATTATACTTGTCTTGTAATTTTCATGTTTGGAAAAATATTTTTACATACATTATTTATAAAATTTTATGCGAATGGCAAATAAAGAACGAACATTATGAATTTTGAACAACAGCTCCAGTATGTTCTTCTTAAGTTTGAATGAAATTACACAAGGAAAAAAAAAACTTCAGGACTAGAACCGAGACGCCGAGATCATTTTTGAGCCAATCGATTAGAAACTTTTTCGGAAAGTTGTGCTTGATACAATTATAACATCACTTGTATGCCTATATAAATGCCTCTGTAAGGTCTCGGGTAGCAGAGGGTCCCGGGTTTGAATGCCGGTTGGGGGAATTTTTTCGCACTCTCAGAATTCTCTTCTTTACCGTTTACAATTTGTATATAACAAAACGATTTCAGTTTATTTTTCACGTGCGATGTGATTTCTGTCTCTTATACACATCTTAACTAACACTATGTTGATGGAAATATCTTTGGATCTGAATGGGGTCCATGCAGTTTGGCAAAAAATGCCCCAAACACCTGTCTCTTATACACAGTATATATACTGTACTATGTACTGTAAATATATGCCCGACCAAGTTGCTGATAATGTTATGTTGATTCTGCAAACCGACAAACTGAATTTACTGTTGGCCCAAACCTTTACAACAAGGCATTATGAAAAATAATCGTGATGATAGTAACGATACACCGCCTTACTTTAACAGAATCAGAAAGAGAATCATAAATAATATTTTTTGACTTCTTTGACAACACTACGCAGCACACAGTTGATGAGTTGTTGAAATTAGGTTAAGTACACGCGTTTGTTTTTTGTTTTTTTTAATGTTATCCTCCTTGTTAATTGTCTACTAATACGTGTGCTATCGGGAGCGCGATTTGAATGGATAAGCTATGGGCATTATGTTATTGATAACGATAGGATTATAATGATGATGGTGGTGGTTATGATGATGGGTTGTAGGAAAAAATGGCCCCGGAAAATTGGCCCCAGTAAAAATGGCCCCAAATGATAAAATTCTGTAATAAAAATGATTTTTTTAAAAAATCTTTTAAATGCTGTAAATAGCAAGACTTGAATCAATAAGTCAAAAGATGCTCCCCCCCCCCATGATAAAATTCAGTAAAGAAATAGATTTTTTTAAATCCGCAAACTATTAAAATGCTGTAAAAAGCAAAAAAATTATTTAATAAATCATACTCATTTAAAAAGAATTATGTAAAAATTCATTAATAAAAAATGTATACCGGTATTTTGTAAAATAGCAAAAATTGATCAACATAAGTCATATGCATTTTTGAAAACTAAAATAACTTAGTCTTTTTTTTTTAGAATGACATATGTGGGTTTATTAAATTGAAAATAAATAATTCCAACTGAATATTACGCCTTAATAACAAACAATATCTCGATTATGGTAAATTAAGAATGACGCAAGACAGTTTCGAAGAAATGTGCAGCGTGTAGAGGCTTAAATTGTATTCTGGAAACTTAATTAAGACAACGAAGAACACCAACAAAAGATGTACAAGATGCTCACTAATAAAAAATATTGAGGAGGAATATGAAGGTCTGTTTAATCATTCCTGCTGCTAACCTCGTTTTGTTCATTTCGTCCTCAGTATTGACTCCGTTTATGTTTTGGAATCAAAGCCTTCAAGAACAATCAATCTCTTGCTGTTAACATTTTATGAATCAAAAAAGCGTGATCACCAATCATCTTAAATTGCACTTAGACTTGACAAATGCCGAGCGGTGTCTTTCATTTTCAATAATGTCTATAAACATGCGAGGATTCTGCGTCAGGTAAATCCTCCTTTTACTATTGTCGTTTAGATTCATTCTGATTTTTCTGTAAATGTTAATAGACGCTGCACGGCAGCCATCATAAATAGAACGCAAGATGTTTAAGTTTTCAATTGGGTGAATGGTTAAGGCTTTGCAGTTAACTATGACGGAGTCCATGAGAAGGTTACTTTAACCTACACGCATCTCATTGTCACCATCATCACTATCATAATTATATCATCACTGTGGTGTAGTGGTTTGGCACAGTAATTGCGGTTCAGTGGTTCGATCACTCACTGTGAATTTTGCTTGTGTCCTTTTCAAGGCACTTTGAATAAAGTTATTTCTCTCCCCCCAGGTGTACATGTTACAGTAGGTTCAAACAAAAAAGCACTAAGCAACCACTTCGTGAAATTCTCTCAAAGGGAGATGAATATTTTATTCCATATTTGTTTTATCCAGTGACCGGGGGTAATAATGTGAAGCGCTTAGAGGCTTTGTTGGCATGAAGTGCGCTATAAATTTAGCTTAATACAGCTAAATAACGCTTGTATTTTGTTCTTCATCAGTAAAAATTCTTAAATTATTAAATGGTCAAATAAATAGCCGAGATGTTATCTGCGATACTATACTGTAGCCTCGACTTAAATGGATATTGAAAGAACTGTTCTGAATATATTTATATCCAAAGTATTCAAACGAGCTGCAATAATATAAGAAAACAATTACTATTTGTCAATCAAAAAAGTATGCCACATCCATAGGCAAAATTTGAAAGTAAAACTGTACTGCATCATATACAAATCATGGACTTTGTGAATATCATGATAGACAGGGACGAAATCCATGAACTAATTTGAATTACTTGAAGCAGTGAGACTTCGAAGAACGCCAAGTAAGCAAATACTTTGAATAGATAATACTATATTATACAGATATAGAGGATTATTTTTCTTTGCATTTATATGTAGACCTACTGCATGTATTGAATACAAAACATTCTATTTATACAAACTATCATTATAAAACATAATGGGCTTCCGTGAAGCATAAATAATGCTTTTTATCTCAATAAAAGTTTAATACGATTCATAAAAAGGCGACAAATACACAGGTAAATTTGTGTACATTCATTAATGAAATACCAACAAATAAAAAAATAAAAACATTATAATATAATGTACACCTGTCTCTTATACACATCTAGATGTGTATAAGAGTCAACATCTTACGTATTTGAGTTTCTTTACTATTTAATTTATATACACATAAATACATATATATATATACTGTATATATATATATATATGCTTATGGCTAAAAATGATGTACTGTAGTACACTATATGTATTACTATAGACTTAGACCTATATGAAATCATGATGATAAATATATAAATAGAAAAACACATACACAAATATCACAGAAATAAATGTACGAAAATATATAGGCCTATATAATTACGTATAAACAGATAAACCGTCTTGCAAATTATTCAATACATATATTTCACTTTCACATCGCCCTAGTTATTATAACTATCATTGAAAAATAATCATCTCTCCATGGGACTCTAGCCCTAACTAATATACGATGGGTTACATATACTGTATAATGTGATCGAAATAAAAAAAAGCCAAAAAAAAACAATCAGCTTCTACTAGTGCCCAAAACCGTGACTGGATATAAAAGTTGTTGCGATCAAAATTGCCGGCATAGATGCACGGTCAAATCTCTGGTTGTCTGAGGAATAGCTATTCCAATATAAAGTTGAAATAATAGAATTTTAAATCGTTACTACCACTTGTTTTTTTAATTTATTTTAAGCCAACGCAAGTACTATATATACACACACAACTATACATTTAAGTGAAAATCGCTTCCTTTTCGATGAATGATGTCCCCAAATGAACTTCATATAGGATGGAGAATACAGGCCTACTAAAACGAAATTTCTTCGTATTTACAAGTTATTTATGTAGAAATCGTATAGGCCTAGGCCTAATAAAAAAAAGCCATATTTATATATACAATAATTGTAATTGTAATAATAATTACTTCCGACAACATGAGTCCACTGCCAGGCATATAAAAAATGTTAAGATAACAAGTATTATGATAGTGATGAATATGATGATGATTTACTGGGACAACTCGTGTATTTGTGGGACATACGCGTATTACTGGTCCTGTTCTCATTGGTCAGTTGTTAAGTTTGTTTGAAAGGTCCATTGTTAGACGTTACTTGGTCTCAGAAATCGTGTCGAGAGAGTATACCTTCGTTGAAGATATCAGTAGATACTGTAAACATATACACTTTTTCAGAATCATAGAATTCCGTAAGTCGAGTCACGTCGGCATTATGAAACTCCGGAGTCAACTTGACTTGTACCGAGTCAAATATTCTTGAGTAGCACATGGCACATGGCGTCAATAACTGGTAACGTCGAGTCGAGTCACTCTATAAGCCGAATCCAAAGTCATGTCGAGTTCTTATTGGTCACTGTACTAATAGTAAGTCAAGTTCAGCCAGTTGGTGATCCAGTCGCAGGTGTATATATAGGCATATCTACACATGCCTATATATTACCTATAATATACTGTATACATGTTTATGTCACAAAAAGAGAAAGCGCCCTCTTAAGTACAAACTTCATGGTCTCCTAAGTTATTCACATCTCGATTTTTAATTGCAACATGAATTTCAAACGTTAAGCCGTAGGCCTAAAGCAAACATATTTCAAAAACACAGTAAAATACATTGATAGACCATATTATAGAAAATGTATGTATATATTCGCATTATATATTCATGCTTATAACTGCTATACCGGTACTTGATTTATCATAATTACAGTTATACCATAGTGACAATAGCTTTCAATGGACCATGTTGAGTTAAAATTGTCCAGCATAAAACAAACTAGTCGACTCATCTTATAGCCTAGGTTTACTAGGCTTAATAATCAAAAATTAAATTTGTTCAAATCCCATTCAGATCGATGTTTCAAATTCATCGTTTTTGTGATTTTCACTGAAATTATAATTATTCATTTCAACTCAGCCGCATTTTATAAATACGTGGGAGGATGTTTTAAGACAAATTGAAAAATTGCTGTTCATCAGTATGATGAGCGTGTAACAAAATGTTACCGGCGGCTATCATATTTGTAAATGTGTGGGTTAAACACTCGGCGAATGAAATCCTAATTATAATAACATGTATGAAATTAGGTAGCGAACTAACATACCCTCTTTATTGTTAAGTAAATAATTATACAAATCGCTCATAGCAAATATATACAGAAATCAGAAATATAAATTGATTCAAATTCAATGTTCAATTTCCGAGTTATTTAAAAGCACTAAACTCATCTGTTTGCTTTCGCCGTTGTGTTTGTCTTCAAGCATGAGGCAGCTTTTAGTTGTAACTTTGGATGTACTCCGATCGGAGAGTTTCCGTCGCATAAAATAACGACAATAATTCATTGAGCCCATTTGTCCGTTTAAGTTAAAAATAAGCACAATAAATGGATTTACAGCCGAGTTACTAACTGCCATCATACCGAAAATTGCGTAGAGTGATTTGTCCAGAGGGGGTCCGTCACCTTCATGGAAGGACACCATAAGTTCACAGACGTAATACGGTAGACTACACACGAAGAAGAACGTTACGATTACAAGCGTCATTTTTAACGTTTTAAACTTCGCTTTAATTAACGTGTGTGTACCGGTGCTTTGGAGCTGCAAACGATTACTCTGTTTTCGTGAACGTCTACTTGGTTTGTTTTCACTCTCCTTTGCTTTTTTCCATATCCGAATACATATTCTTATATATGCAATTCCGATAATGACAAAAGGAATTACAAACGTTACGACGGCGACATACGTAACGTACGCTTTACGCTTCGAAGGCTTTGAGCCAAGCTCCGTCGTACACGTTTTGAAGTAGCCAGTCGCATCACTTCCCTCTGTCATCTCTAGCCAGACCCACAATTGCGGGATAGATGTCAGTAACGCCAGTAGCCAGGCTATGCCTACTAATTTTTTCGTAGAGATGGTCTTGCGAAATGGATTGTGTATAGCTTGGTGGCGATCTAGCGCTATAACAACAAGAAGGTTACTCGATGCCATTATTGACACACTCTGCAAATACATTATAATTTTACACATAACGTTACCTAGGAGCCAGTGATAGTAAAGCATTTCATAAATCGCTGTACCCATCACCGCGAAGAAGCAAACACACAGATCAGCAAATGTTAATCCTAGGATGATCTGGTTCACTCGTCGGCAAAATCTGTGACGGTTGATCAAAAACCAGAACAAAACAAGACAATTACCTATCACACCGACAGTAAATATAACCCACATAGTCAATACACGTACCGCAACATTATGGTGAATATCAGTACTGTTGTTGGTAAAAAGTTCTTCTGACGTCGTTTGTGGGATGTCGGTTACCGCTAAATTCTCGGCGTCCATATTTGATGAGGCGTTAATACTTCTAAACGATAAAGCCGCGAATCTATAACAGAAGAAGAGCAATAAAACCGTTAATAAACACGCAACATTATAAAGTAGATATGTTTAAGAAATTAACAAAAATCATATATAGGCCTATTTATAGTTTATTTGTTGTTGGTTCGTTTATTTGTTTGTTTGTTCATTCGAACCCCGATCAGGGTTTTATCATTATTATCATAATCCAAACTTTTCGTAACTTCGCCATGGTCATTTCTTAACCCGGAATATCGAAATCTGAATTGTCTTGGTTACGAACAGAGTTGCGAACAGTCTGGGTAACGAAATGTCTGTTATCCTTCTGATTTTATATTTAAAAAAATGATCAATCTGAAAACATCTGTAGTTGTGTTTTAACACGGATAAGCCTATTTACCACTAATGGTAGGAGCAAACATCGGTGATTGCCAATTACTTTTGCAGCAACTTCAAGTTGGTTAAGTTCTAATGTATTGTGAACTTTTGTATGACTGCTCTATTGTTCATATGTGTATATAATGGCAAATGTACGTGTTTCATGATTTAATGACCGGTAATCTGTTATTTATTACAGGCCAATACATACGAGGA